CCTTAGCCTGTTGAGCTATAGGAGCCGAGCCCCTCCCTATTTTTCTTTTGGCTCCTTTCCCACCTGCAATGGGTCTCTTCCCTGAGGAAAGAGGGCAGCCGTCAGCCTAGGGGAAGAGTTGGCCCCTGACCTCCAACTCCCAAGATGGTGTATCTCTCTGCTATTCATTCCGTTACACACCAACAGCCTGATCCCTTGCACCCTCCAGCTGCCCCTGAGGGCGGGGCCTCAGTGAGGCAGAGAGGGAGGGGGCATGGGACACTTGGAATTTTCTGCTGGAGCCAGGGACTGGACCCCAGGGCAGTTGAATAATGGAGCAGAATTACCCTCGAGTTCCCCTGTTACCAGCAACAGAGATATAAACTAGGGGGGAAGATTTCTGTATTGCCTAGATCATTCTCTCAGTTTTGATAAAACAATTATAACAAATAAAAAAATAAAAATAAAAGCAAAGCAATTGGGCGCCGGCCACATACACTGAGGCTGGAGGGTTCCGACCTGGCTGGGCATCTAAAGCAACAGTGAGAACTGCAAAAGAAAACAGCAGCCAGGCTTTGTGGTGGGCGCCCGTAATCCCAGCTACTTGGGAGGCTGAGGCAAAAGCAAAGCCATTGCTAGAATAGATTTTTTTCCTGTGTTTAAAAATAAAAGATCTTTGTGGGGAGAGAAAAATAAAAAGAACTACAAAGTCTAGAAAAACATTTTAAACAACTGAAAATAGGCCTCTCAGGGTTGTGGGATTACAGGTGATTTTTTACTTAAAAAAAAAAAATCTGTATCTAATTCTGTCATAATAAAAACATACTATTTGTATAACAAAATACTTTTTAAAATAAATGTTTTTCAAAAAAAACTGGAAGGGAAACGATCTTTAAAACTATCTAATTTGTGCCTTTTGCAGAAGGGCTCTTGGAGTCGCTGGGGACACGGTGTGGATGTGGAGGCCACACAACCCGGGTCAGAGCCCAAGGCTTTTTCTTGGATGGTGGCCACTGCCCCGGCCCCTGGTCTCTGCCGCAGGGAGTGAGTGATGTCGTGGTCAGTTAAAATATGCTTGTTTGGGTGTTCTGTCTGAAGGCGTCAGAAGGCGTCCCCATGAAGTTCTTCACCACGCTGGACCAGCTCATTGAGTTTTACAAGAAGGAAAACATGGGGCTGGTGACCCATCTGCAGTACCCTGTGCCCCTGGAGGAGGAGGATGCAGGTGACGACCCTGAGGAGGACACAGGTAGGGACGGGATCCGCCCACCGGGACCACAGGTGTTCATCTTGTTGTCCGAGGGAGACAGTGGCAGGGTGGCTAAGGACGAGGTAGGAACCCAGGTGCTGGGGTCTGGCAGTCACAGGCTGGAATTCCTGCTCCCCAGCTCATTACCGCTTATTAGCTGTGTGACCTTGAGGAAGTTTTTTAGCCTCTCAGGTGTTATAGGATCCAGCGAGGTAATGAAGGTAGAGCCTGGAGCCTAGTACACAGTAAGTGCTCAGTAAAGGCACTCTCATTATGATCGTCATTATAATTAGCTGAATTTCACTGGGAGGAGAATGAAGGAGACCCCTGCACCCCTGTTTCTTTCTGTTATCATTAAAAGGGGGAAAGCCCCTAAAAGTGTGTAGAAAACCATGTACAGTCCCTATAAAGTATGTGAGGCTCAGGCCTGCCCTTTACAGCGTAGGACGAGAGCAGGAGAGCCAGTCAGATAAAGTCATACAGAGAAAGCTCACCTGGGGGCACCCCTCTTTTCCCTTCAGAGGTTTCTTTCCTAAAAGAAAACCATGAGACACCTAATTGAGCCCCTCGGCTGGCCAGGGCTTTGCCTAAATCCCAGTGGGTCTGGAGACCCTACTGGGTCCTACAGAAGAGACTGGACCAGAGACCTGGGATCCCAGCCTGGCTCCTGCATGTCCCCAGAGGGCTGCTGCCAGTCCCTTGCTGGGTGTCCTCATTCTCCCTCTCCTGTGAGCACCGAGGCGGTCTCCTCCTCCTGCCTTTCTGAAGCCCCATTCATGGTTGTAAGGCTCAGTTTTACCTAAGGATGGCAGCTCCGTGGAGGCTGAGCGGGTTCCCGGGCAGGCCCTGTCCCTTCTCCCCTCCCTGGTCTGAGCGAGAGATGCTCTCCAGGATCAGGGATGACATCTCCCGTGTGGGTCCATGGTCGCTCACAGCACCATGCCCAGGTCTCACCTGCCCTACTGTCCCCAGGGGCCCAGAGCCATGTGGGCAGCTTCGGCTTTGAGAGCTGAGCAGCTGTCCTGTAGAACTGTCCTCCACATGTCACTGTGCTCAGGCCCCCACCCAGCCTGTCGTGCCCTCCAGGGATGGCTGCAGAAAGACCCCGATAACTTTCTGTGAGTGAGGGCTGGAGAGAGAACCTCAGTCTCATGACTGCTGGCTTCACTTCCCCAAAAGAGGCAGCCCAGAGCAACGTGACACGCGGTGACCAGCCAAGGTGTCTGATTTGACTCAGGGCTTCCCAGAGTGCTGCCCAAACAGACTCCTTACCGTCATCAGAACCCCAGACAGGAGAGGAAGTAGAAGGCTTGTCCTCTAAAAAGAAGCGCCGTGGCTGGGCCGGGGAAGGGCGGGGGAGAGTGGGTGGTGGGTGGGTGAGGGTAGGGGCAGCAAATTTGGGATGCGGCTCCCACAGGGAGTCCTGGACTCACGGGCTCGGTGACCCTTGCCCATCTGTGGTAGGTGCAGGGTGGACATTCTCCTAAAGGTGATGGGCAGGGCGCCTCTCAAGGGTGGGAATCGGTGGCTTCTAGACCACATGTGACCGTCCAGATCCCCAAGTGCAGCTCCTCAACTGAATCAAAACTTCACAAAACAAATCCCTTTATTAAAAGATTTATTCTGTAAAATGAGGTTCAGCCACAAGGCCACACAAGGATCCAGAAGGCTGCATGTGCCCCAAGGCTGCAGTTTCCCCACCCCCGAGGGAAGGCAGGGCAGAGGCTGGAGAGAGGGGATAGTGTGGGATGGGGAGGCCAGGCTGCCTGTCCCTCCCACTCCACCCCCTCCTGTGGCTCTGGCCTCGTTCTGGGAACTAGGCCTGTGCTGTGCCCACCAAGATTCAGTTCTCACGAGGCACTTGCTGTGGCCTCTGAAAGCTGAGCCTGTCCTGCTGACCTGCCTGAGGCTGTGACCAGTCTGCCAAGGCCACCAGGCCTACAGGCTGCCCAGAGCCTCCCCTGGATGGGGTGTCTGAACCCAGATGCTGTGCTAGGCCCTGAGGGGCACTAAGACCAGGTTCCTGTGGCCAGAGGCTCTCCCTGTAGTCAGGGAGTCAAGGAGCTATGAGGCAGAGCTGGGGATCTGTGAGCTGGGCACCATGGGGAGGCGTGCGGGACGGGGTTATGCACACAAATCCTCACTGATGGTGTCCTGCTGCTGTCCTGGGTAGAGAGCATCATGTCTCCTCCCGAGCTGCCCCCGAGGAACATCCCTCTGTCTGCTGGGGCCTGTGAGGCCAAGGACGCATCTCCTTCAATCGATAACCCCCGAGCACCAGAGATCAGCCGGCCAAGCCTCGCAGAAACTCTGCTTCAGCGACTGCAGAACCTGGACACCAGCGGGTGAGTCCCCACCCAACAGCCCTCGGGGGCCACTGGGGCTGCATGTCCTGTGGTGAGTCCATCACATCCGTCCCTCGCTGCATGATGTTGGGTACTGACCCTAATTACGAGCCCGGTGCCCCAAGGGCGGATGGGGATACCTCTGGACGGGGCGTTTGTTGTGCCAATCAGGGACTTTTGCACTGTGGTAATCAAGTGAGACCAGGGGACTGAGGTTCACTGAAAGGAGGCTCCACGAGGGGCGCTGTGTCCCCAGTGCCGGCGGTACGTAGATAGCACTGGGTATGGGTTGGATGGATTAGTAAATTAGCACACAGTGAATTCCGTGCATTAATAATTTAAAAACTTTCTTTGTTTTTCTATGAGAAACAATCCCCCCACAGAGAGAATCCGAGTGGCAGAGCTGAAGTAGCATCTGCTCCTTGAAAGACCCATCTGAGGGTCTTTCCCTGCCCTGTACCCTCCAACTCGGCAGAAGGCAAAGGAAGTGCCTGAGGGTGCGCGGGAGGGGAGGTTGCTAAGATACCTGGTGTTTTTCCACCTCCACCTTGACACGTCCTTTGGCTCTTCTCTGAGCACACCTGGTTGTATTCCATGCACACTTCCTGTGCTATTTACCAAATAGCTGAGTATTCGTGATAGATGATCAGGATCATCCTAAAATATACGTCTAAATAACAAATGCTTATCAAAATGTTCCACAGAGTACCCCTTGTTTAGCTCCCTTGAGTTTAGATGCTAACTGCAGTGAGCTCCTTGGGGAATAGGCAGGGATGCCACTGACCTCTCCTCTCAACTCTCCACAACTGCTGACTATGTCCCCTCCTCAGACCCTCCACTCTCAGTACAGGCTTTTGGCCTCAGTGGGGCAGGCCAAGGTAGGAAGGAACACCAGAAAGAGGAGATATGCTCTCTCTAGCTTTGCTTCTCAGCAAACTCGCGGTAGTGGACCCTTCCTAAAACTTCTGCTTGGAGATGGGAAGGAATGAATGAATGAGGCCGGAGCAAGAACCGAGGAAAGAGGCAACATAGGGCCACCCTCAGGTCTCAGGGTCAAGGGGAAGTGAGATTCTTCATTTTGTGTGTTTTTTGTTTGAGACAGGGTCATATTCTGTTGCCCCAGGCTAGAGTGGTGTCAGCCCAGAGCACAGCAACCTCAAATGCCTAGGCTGGAGAGATCCTCCTGCCTCAGCCTCTCTAGTAACTGGGACTCCAGCTGTGACCCACCATCCCCAGCTAATTATTTTCTATTTTTTTTTTTTTTTGTAGAGATGGAATGTCACTCTTGTTTAGGCTGGTCTCAAATTCCTGACCTCAAGGGATCCATGAGCTTTGGCCTCCCAAAGGCACTAGGATTATAGGCATGAGGCTCTGGGCCCAGCCCTCTCAGTAACCTTTAACTGTTTTAGTCTATTTTTGCTTGTCAAGTCACTTTTTACATGGAGGACCACCTTTAGATTATTTTAAATTATAAGACAATCTGTACAGTGAGATCTCATCAACTGAGTCATAGTTAACAGGTTAACTGTGTTTTCTGAGTAAAAGCAACTTTCTCTGATAAACATAGTTTGCATCTTTATGTTAATACTTTTCTATAGCAACTATTTTAACAAATAAGAACTTCCAATAACAAGGACGCATGGTCTCAAAGTTACAAGTCAATGGTCATTAGATCTGCTAAATACATATTTTAGCACTATAGAAGAGATATTTGTCCTTTTTAGTAAAAAGACTCAGGCAGACACTGGATTTTTATGTCAAGACCAAGAATATAGATTAACCTTCGTGTTGTGATAACTGGTTGCAAAGCTGCTGACTTCTCAATCCAGACAAATCAGAGTGGCTAACCCCTCCCTGCCCAACCTCAAGGGCAACAGCTTTTCATTCTTTCACGGGTCCCTCTAGTTTCGACTTGATTATATGTCAGGAGTGGAACAAAAATCTCTAAGGCTGGTAATGATTTTTTTACAGAGGTGATTAATAACCTTGAGCCTCAGTTTCCTGATTTGTAAAACAGGAATAATTAATAATACTAATAATATCTGCCCCATAAAATGGATTTCTGGATGAAGGAGAAAGTGGGCAGGAAGTACTCAGATTTGGTTCAGGAACTACTTGCCCTTGTTATGACTTTCGTTCTTGTGGGAACAGAGTCAAAAGTTACCCAGAGCAAAAGCCGCTGGAAGATAGAAGGCAAAGCTCTGGCCAGCCGTTAGGTGACGCCCCCTGCTGGGGCCGGGCTCCACCTGGGTCCTGCCAGATGTACCCAGAGAGCGGATCCTGGCTCAGTCTCACTCACTTTGTCATTTGAAGAGGTTGGCCCAAATTAGGCAGGGCCACATTCCTGGCCCCATCACTCATCATAAAGCCGGGGATGGATGATTCCAGATTCTCTCCCCCACCACTCCCAGTAGCCTTTGGCTGTGAACTTGTGCTATGTATGTGAAAGCCATCTCCTGACCAGAGCATCCTTCCAGCCCTCGGATCCTATCTTCATGAGTAGATAAGATGGGGAAACAATACCACTATTCATTTCCCAAGAATTTTTGTCTCTTTGGTAAAGGATAACCGTTTCCCAGTACCCACTGCCAGAATCCCGTCCTTCCAGAAGCACCCAGAGGTGCTCACTAGAGAGGAGCCCCTCTTGCTGGACCCCTTCATCTTGCTCTGAGCTGTCGCTCTGCCCGGTCAGGAAGAGCACAGGAACCTTCATACAGGTGTGGGAACGTTCTTCTGAAGGCCCGTGTCTCAGTGGGGGTCTCTAAGGATGAGGATTTGTTACTGTTGCTGTTATGCTGGTGTTGGTGGTCTAAAGGAACAGGGTAAGCGTGTCTTTATTTCTGTTTTTTTTTTTTTTTCAGGCTTCCAGAAGAGCATCTTAAAGCCATCCAAGATTATTTAAGTACTCAGCTCACCCTGGACTCTGAATTTGTGAAGACAGGGTCCAGCAATCTTCCCCACCTGAAGAAACTGACTACACAGCTCTGCAGGGAGCTCTACGGGTAACAGCGGGCCCGTGGGGGTGCCCTGGGCAGGAGAAGCAGCTCGTTAGTGGGTCAGACTATGCCTTGCCTGGCTGTCCAAATGCCTTGCTGTACTCACAGTAATTGGGCAGTTGACAGAGTTTAGAAATCTTCGTGGTTGCTTGGAGGTCTTATTTTCATAGAATTTGAACTGTAGCTTGGATGAATTGCTGCTTTTTTAAACTAAAGTTAATTCGAGGCCAGTTGCTCTGAGCATGGGATGGGGTGAGGACATGGCCGGGACTCAGCACTTAAGACTTTTGTCACTGCTCTTGCTGGCTCCACACAGCATGCTCGGCAAGCACGTAAGGACACCAGGAGGAAATACATTAGTCAGACTACTTTCTGTGGTGGTGATTGTAGCCCAAGATTTCCAGTCATCAGGTTTTTAAGATGAATTGATTCACCAAAATTTTAGTTTTCTAATTTTGAAGTCATTGAATGACTAATTGGTAAAAGTTCTGATTTCTTTTAGATTATTTTGACTCATCTTAATCTAGTTAACCTTAAAGTTGATTTCAAGTTCAATTACATTTTTATTGTTAGAAGTGCAAAAGTAAGGCTGATACGGCATCTGAAGAATCAGCACAGAATATTTTAAATGCTTAAAGCTTGAAGAAAAAAGAAAAAATCTGAAACATCTGAAAGAAGACAAAACAATCCCATCACAAACAAAAGGTTAACATTTGGTTGGAAAAATCGCATTTTATATGGGCGAATTTTTTTCCAGTCTGTGCTGGTTAGTGTTTTATTCCACACACAGCAGTTCCAAGATTCTCTTACCAATTTCTCTGGGGTCATATCAATGTTCATTTAGTTAACATGCAAAAAAAAAAAAAAATCTTTTACTACCATCAATGAAATTTCACTCTCTTTTTAAAGGCTCTTAAAAGCACAATCAGCATATTTGGTAAATTTAATAAGTATTTCTTTGACGAATTGCGCACTCAGCAACATGGACAGTGAGGCTTCGTTTCAATGAACTGGCTTTCAGCTAATGCAGTTCTAGCCAATTGACCCAGAGCCAGCCATCATTTCTTTTCTTTTTTTTTCTTTTCTTTTTTTTTTTTTTTGAGACAGAATCTCACTTTGTCACCCTTGATAGAGTGCTCTGGCATCACAGCTCACAGCAACCTCAAACTCCTGGGCCCAGGTGATTCTCTTGCCTCAGCCTCCCTAGTAGCTGGGACCACAGGTGCCTGCCACAACGCCCGCCTATTTTTTAGAGACAGGGGTCGTGCTCTTACTCAGGCTGGTCTCCAACTCCCGAGCTCAGGCAATCTACCTACCTCTGCCTCCCAGAGGGCTGGGATTATAGGCGTGAACCACCAAGCCCGGCTCCTCCAGAGCCATCATTTTTATAAATTTCCTTGGAGGGATTTCTTTGATGCTGTTATTATGAATCACTTATCGCTAAGGGAAAACACATGCAAATGGCCTTTCTTTTTATGCCACATCATTTCACGATGGCTGATAAGCTCTTATTTCTGCTTTGAGGAGGAAGATCTTATTCTTTGCTGCTTCCTTATTGGGGAAGAAATATATCTTTTAAGCTTCTCTTCTAGGCTTGCCTGGATAGATCTACAAGTTAGCAGCTTTTTCTTTTTCTTTCTTTCTTTTCTTTTCTTTTTTTTTTCTTTTTTTTTGAGACAGAGTCTCAAGCTGTCTCCTTTGGTAGAGTGCTGTGATGTCACAGCTCGCAGCAACCACAAACTCTTGGGCTTAAGTGATTCTCTTGCCTCAGCCTCCCAAGTAGCTGGACTACAGGCACTCACCAAAATGCCTGGCTATCGGCAGCTTTTTCTGACACTGCATTGTCACCTGGACTTCCCTGGGATCCGGGTCATCGCCTCCTGTGGTGACAGTGGCTTCCCCAACCTGCCTACATCTTGGTGCATGGTAAATGGTACCAGCAGAGAAAGCTTCTTGCAGCTTCTAGCTGTCCCACATCTGTTTGCTGAATAGTGAATGTCAAGTTAGAAGTGGAGACACTGTAATGTTCTAAGTGCCCCCTGCACAGTTGCCAGCTTGGAGACTTGGGTAACTGAGGGATGGAATTTTAGGAAATCTTAGAAAGGAACAAAATGAGTCAAGCACACAAACTCAGTCCAGACTGTAAGTCTCTTGACGACATCATGGATCGTGTCCTAATCACCTTCATAATTCCAGGGTCCAAAAAAGTACCTGAAACATTATTTATTCACTGCTATATTCACAAATAAAGATCAAATGCATACCAGCTACATGCCAGGAAATGTTCCCAGGGCTGGTGATACGGTAGGGAAAAAAACAGAATCTTTAAGAAATCACCCTTGAGGCTCAGTGGTTATGGTGCCAGCCACATACACTGAGGTTGGCAGTTTCGAACCCAGCCCCAGCCAGCCAAAACAACAATGACAACTGCAACCAAAAATAGTCAGGCTTTGTGGCAGGCACCTGTAGTCCCCACTACCTGGGAGGCTGAGGCAAGAGAATCACTTAAGCCCAGGAGTTTGAGGTTGCTGTGAGCTGTGACGCCACAGCACTCTACCAAGAGGCTGAGGTGGAAGGATTGAAACTCAGGAGTTCAAGACCAGCCTGAGCAAAAGCAAGGCCCCTATATCTACTAAAAATAGAAAACTTGGCACTCTAGCCTGGGGTAACAGAGTAGGATGCTATCTCTCTGTCTCCAAAAAAAAGAAAAAAGAAACAAAAGAGCAAATGAACAATAACAATGACCAGAAAGTCGAAGAGCAGAAGAGAATGGTGCAAATAAAAACATAAATGCATTCAGAAAAATAGTCAGGTAGGAAAATTTTGAACATTAGAAATTTGATAATCTGCATTAAAGATTTGCAAATCACTAAAGAATTTTACAGTGTACAATTACGTGCCGTGCCTACAAATCTTCAAATTGTAATTAAATGGAAACATAAAATACAAAAAGCACAAAAATTACCATGAATGCCCTTCTTTAAACTTCCAAGGAACAAAGAGTGTGTTAATTATTCCTGAGTGACAAACGTTGCCTAATTCATTCTTAAAATAAAGTGATTCAAAACCAAAAACCTAGTCAAGATAGTAGCCTAAAATAGAACTGTCTCTAGTTTCATTTATTAATATATTATTACTATAGACTCATTAATATAGTATATTCATAAATAACAAATACTGTATATTTATTAATATATATCATTTCAGTAACATTCTAGCAAATAGAATTCAGTGACATGAAAAATGGAGGATGCACCTGTGAAATCATTCCAAAGATAAGTCAACAAAAAGTGCTGTAATTAACAGTAGATTAGAAGATAATGGAATCATTTGCATAGATGTCCTAATAGATAAAACTTTAAATTCTTGTCTAATTAAAAAAA